TAAGCTCTTTATGGCATGAACTGTCTCTTACCATGTGTATTACAGTATCTAACACAATGGTTTTATCTCAGTTGGGGTCTTGAGATGCTACCATAAGGCGAAAAGTGGAGAAAGCCTTTGAAAATTCTGTCCTGTAAAACACACAGGAATTCTGTGCATTCAAGCATTCCCAACTGTTTTGGGAGCAATCATGACTATATGGATAATGAGACAATCCAAAGATACATTAGATAGGTGGGAAGGAGGAGAAGGATATAAACTTTCTTGCTTCAGGGCCTATGTTAATCACTAGCTGGTGGGCAGATTTCTTATGGCCACGTTTTTCGTAATTGTTCATTACTAGGTTTCTGGCACCATCTCTATAGCATATGGTGCTGGTCATTGCTGGAGGCAGGATACTGGACTGGATGGTCCACCAATCTGATAGGGAATAACAATTGCATTTGTTCTGTTGGGTTCAAAATATATGAATGTTTCGATCAAGACTTTATCATAGCTAAAACACTACTTTACTTTATATTTGTATGAAAATACAATAAACCCATTCCTCTCCTCTCATAGATGAATACAAAAGAGAGACATAGCAAAACAGAATATCAGCTTAGGCCACAAAGTAAAATGAAGATCTATTAAATCTTCCATGGGGAAATGAACAAAAGAAATGTAATTAATTCTGTGTTATGTGTGTTAATTGTTCTGTGTTAGAGCATTGCATTTTTCACTCAAAATATCCCCATATTCGCTAGCATAGTTCATATTGCATTATGCATTTGGATAGTGCAATTTGAGAGTGGCTGTTTCTATATTATGTAAAACACTCATAGGATCAATTTGATTCTATCATCATTGCCTTCCTGAAGTACTTTCTTCTGTACTCATCTACAAATGCTGACTTTCAAAGGATGAGATACAAAGAGACAATAAAATGGTTAGGAAAGCAAAAACAATCTGTTAATGAGGTGAGATTCTTTTCAATTTTATTCTCAATCCTGTTTGTTAGTAAATACTAAGTAGGAGCAAAATCTTTTAAGATTTTGTATAGCTTTTCCCCTTCTTACAAAGCAGTTTTTGAAATCCAGTTAGTCACTGTGTTGTATCAGGGATCAATAGGGATAAAATGATGATGATGATAATACATTTGTGCTTCTCTAGTATTTTTCATCTAAGTATACCAAAGCGCTTCCTATACTGAAAGTTTCACAGCAGCCCTGTAAGAAGGGTAAGGGATACTTTACACAACACTTAAATATCACCACCTCTGAAATGAAATTTGGCATTTGTTTAACAGTTCACAGCAATGCTACACATTATAAAGAAAATATAAAAGAATACTCTCTCCATTTGAAACTTCAGGAGAAACTGAGGTCTGGAAACTATAATTACTAGAATTAAAATTTGGCTGAGGCACAGTATTATACAAAAAGTGCCAAAGAATCTTTAATGACCACAAGTGGTCAGGACTAGAAGTAGGCAAAACATTTTTGGTTAATGGTGTATTCACCAAAAAATGCAGATTTGGTCGACCCAAACTATTCACAAATTTGTTTTGAGTTCACTAAATGGTTACAACTGAACTAAAAACATCAACATGTTTCAGAAATGTATAAATGGAATGTTTTGTTTCAACCCAATTTTAAAATGTTCATTTTGATTTTGATTATTTTGACAAAAGCAAAACAGCTGGAAGGAGGCAGCTGCCTCCCTAACCCTTAGCCCAATCATTGGGAACCTTGCTGGGGATGTGGGAGGATTGGGATCAGGTTCCTCCTCTGCCTAATGTGAGAAAAGATTGGAATATGGGTGTCTCACACTGCAGAAAAGTGCCTTAACCACTGGACTATGGGATATTCTGATGTGGATCTTTCTCAATCTGTCCTCTTGAAGCTGATCCACTTTTTATAAATAATAAAACTGTCATTGGAGCAGAGAGAGAGAGAGCGATCAGACTCTGCGCTCTCCTTGCAAGTGCTGCCTGGGAATAGAGAGTCAGACCAGAAGCTGGGAGGCCTGCATAGCGGGAGGAGGAGACTCAGGAACAAAAGGGAGCCCCAGGGGAATGCCCTGTAGTCACATACAAGGGGCAGAGAGCTGGGAAAGACCCAGGCGGGTCTTGAGAGTTTTGTTAAGCCCTGGGTGGATGGACATTGTTTGTTTTATTGTTTCATTTGAGCTTCTGAACTCTAGTAAGGGACTCTGAGGGTAAGCCCAAGAGCCCTCCAGTCTGAGGGACAGTTGACACAAACAAAGATCCTGGAGTCATGCAAGATAGTGGAGCCCAAACCTTTTGGGTTATAGTATTGAACTTTATTTTGTCATTTGACGTGTCCATTTTAATAAATTACTCAATGTCATGGGTGTTTATTAGCCTAAGAGTACGTCTACACTACCCGCCAGATCGGCGGGTAGTGAGCGATCTATCAGGGATTAATTTATTGTGTCTAGTGTAGACGCGATAAATCGATCCCCGATCGCTCTGCCGTCGACTCCGGAACTCCACCACCGCGAGAGGCGGAAGCAGAGTTCATGGGGGAGTGGCGGCCATCGATCCCATACCGCGAGGAGGCGAAGTAAGTGCTTCTAAGGTGATCTAAGATGCGTCAACTTCAGTTACGCTATTCTCGTAGCTGAAGTTGCATATCTTAGATCAATTTCCCCCCACAAACACCCAGTGTAGACCAGGCCTAAGATAATGTTGGAGAAATATTCCTGAGGACCTCTGAGAAGGGAAAACAGAGGCTGAGGGGCCAGCAGGGCCACTCCTTGCCAGGAGGAGGTGCTCTGACATGGCAAAAGCGTGACATTTAACTGTAGTATTAATCAAAAATAGTGTTGCTGTTCTGAACTCCTACACAGAAGTATAATATTTCTCTTTCCTCTCATTTTATTAATGGCTTTTTGTCCCAAGAGAAACAAAGAAATAATTAAATCTAATTTAAATAAAAAACATGCAGATAATTATAATTTAAATAAAAGCATGGACAGCTGGGAGTTTTTTGTGTCAGGGAAGATATTTGTGTTAAATGAAATGTAAGACCAAAACTTGTTTATACGTAATCCATAATAAACTTGGAGAAAAGCAGTTATCTGTTGCTGTATCCTGTACACATCAGTAATTTTGTGTGTGCTCACATTTAATACGACCAAATAGAAGATTTTTTAGGAACAAAGAAAATAAGATAGATGACTGTCCTGGAAAGCTGTGACTCTGAAAAAGATTCATCGTCATGGTGGATAACTAATTAAACATGAGCTCACAGTGTGATGCTGTGGTTAAGATGACTAATGCTATTCCATATAAAGAGGGCATCATTAGGAGTAGGGAGGCAGTATTACCTCCTTATACAGAATTAATGAGACCATTAATGGAATAAATACTGCATCCAATCCTGATGTGCACACTTCAAAAAGGATGTTTTAAAAGGTTCAGAAAAGAGCTACAGTAAATGATCAAATTATGGAAAACATGTTAACTGTGAGAGAGTAAAGAAACTCAATTTAATAACATAAGAACATGAAGTTGCATTCCTGACCATCATGGCTAATAATCATCGATGGCTCTATCCTCCATGGATTTATCTAATTCTTTTTTTTAATTCAGTTATACTTTTTGGCCTTCACAACATCACTTGACAATGAGTTCCACAGGTTGACTGTGTATTGTGTGAAGAAGTACTTCCTTATGTGAGTTTTAAATCTGCTGCCTATTAATTTCATTGGGTGTCCCTTGTGTTATATGAAGGGATACAAAAACACTTCCCTATTCATTTTCCTCACACCATTCATGATTTTACAGACCTCTATCATATCCCTGTAAATCATCTCTTTTCTAAGCTAAACAGTCCCAGTCTTTTTAGTTTCTCCTCATATGGAAGCTGTTCCATACACCAATCATTTTGTTATCCTTCTTTGCACTTTTTCCGATTCTAATATACATTCTGAATGGGACAATCAGAACAGCATGCAGTATTCAAGGTGTGGGCATATCATGCCACTCTCTAACTCCATTATGATATTTTCTATCTTATTATCTATACCTTTCCTAAAGTTTTCTAATATCGTTAGTTTTTTTGATTGCCACTGCACATTGAGCAGATGTTTTCAGAGAACTATCCATGATGACTCCAAGATCTTTCTTGAGTGGTAACAGCTAATTTAGATGTCATCTGTTTATATGCATAGTTGGGATTATTTTTCCAATGTGCATTACTTTGCACTTATCAACATTGAATTTCATCTGCCATTTTGTCTCCCAGTCACCCAATTTTGTGAGATCCCTTTGTAACTCTTTGCAATAAGCTTTGGACTTAACTATTTTGAGTAATTTTGTATTGTCTGCAAACTTTGCCACCTCACTGTTCACTCCTTTTTTCAGATAATTTATGAATATTTAGTTTAATAATTAATAGCTTAAGAGGTAACTTAATCATAGAGAGAAAATTTCTTATAGTAGAGAATTCTTTAACCTAACAGACAAATGCATAATAAGATCCCATAGCTAAAAGTTGAAGCTAGATAAATTCAAACTTGATGGAAGTCTCTAACAGTGAGGGTAATTCACTATTGGAAAAACTTACCAAGGGTTGAGGTGGATTCTGTATCACAAGAAATCTTTAAATCACGATTGGATTCAAATCCCAGTGAAATATAATTTCAGTATGGCAAAATAAAGTTTTTTTAGTATATTTTATTTCCAGTGTGTATTTCTTGTTGCACTATTTATTTAGATTTCCAGTCATAAAAGACGTTTGTACAGGCAAACTGGATAATTTTATTCCCAAAAGTACATTTAAGTGAACAGTTATTCAATTTAAGTGTATAAATGCTGACTTTCATATGTAAATATAGTTTTTTGTAGGCATAATGAATGCTTGCCTATTTTTTTTTCCGGTGTATTCTAAACCTACCTTATCGTGCTGTGGTTAAAGGAAACTTCCAAACATATACTTGTGAAGTTCAGGGAAATTCATAGTAGTTTTTTGTTTTTTCTTAAACTTTTCTAGCTAAGAAGAAACCAAAACTCTTAAACAAGTTTGATAAGACCATTAAAGCTGAACTGAATGCTGCAGAAAAGCTACGTAAAAAGGTAGGTTTGAATTCTGTTTCTCCTGGTGCTGTAAACCATGGCTACAAACTAACAGGCATAAAAATAACAGGGATAATGAATTTTATATTTGTTTCTGTTTTTCTCTAACCAAGCATTCAGCACACATTTGTGATTGTACTTCAATGTTCATTTTAGCTTGGTAATTCACCTTTTGTCCTTTCAGATCATAATGTGTGTTCCTTCATGTCTGTCATGGGCACTCATTGTGTTTTATAAAAATTTACATCTTAACCACTTACTGAATTTTGTATTTTTTTTTAATGTTCCCATCTTTGTCTCTAGGTGCATATACAAAATATTTATTTTAAAAAATTATCAGGCCCTGGTCAACAGATATACAGACATCCTATATCCACCTGTAAAAATAAATATACTCCTCTATCACTTCTTCAGGCAGAAACCTGAGTGAATAGACTAGTTTTACAAATTGTCCTGAACATCAATAAATTCTGGCTCTGTCTTACTAATGGGTACACAAAGCTCCAACCCCTCTACTCACATGTTCAAATTGAATCACTGCTAGCAAAAGCACACTAGCTGACCTCAGCTGTCTTTAAAGTGATTAGGGAGATAGCAAATTCTTCAAATAAATAGGATGATATAAGGACTGATAATACTACAACTTGTTAATATAAATGCATAACAAAACAAAAGAGATATAAATACATGCACAAGATGGAAATACCGTATGAATAACAAAATTCAGTGTTCATTATTTGTAAAACTTGGGGGAAAAACAAACCCAAATCAATCAACCAAACCAACCCCCCCCCCCCCCCCCCCCCCCCCGATCCCACAAAACAAACCCTGAACCCATAGAGGTCATGCAGTGCATCAATTGTTAAAGTGACTAAGTAAATATATACTGTAAGTGAGAACATAAGCTATGAGTATTGGGGTCTAATATATACTAACCTGCAAAAGTATGCAATAGTTTTCATGTGTGACCAGACAGCTTTATTCCCCCCCCCCCAAGCATTGCTATTAGACCATGTCATTTTTTCCATTAATGCAATAATAAAGAGCTCACTAAGCCAGTCTGTGTAGGAGGGAGGAATTGCAGATTTCCATTTTCTGAGATAACTGTTTTGGCCACTACTGCAATCCATTTCTTAATGTTAACTGGTAATACCAATCCAGCACCCCTAAAATACACACGCCTGGAGAATGAAAAATAGCAACACTTAAAAGTTTCTGAGAGAGCACTGAATATGGTGTAGCAGAACACATGCATTTTTGATAGGTATAGAGGATGTGTTAAAGGTTGGCATGGGACTGTTTGCATCTCCAACGTTCACTGTGTGGTGCCAATCTAGCCTTAAATAAACATTCTGGAGTCCCATAATACCTGTTTAATATCTTGTTCCGGAAGAATCACAAGGATAAAGAACTTGAAATATCTTTCATGTTAAGCCAAATATCTTCCTGGGTTTCTGTTGTGACAGTAATGCTAAGTTTTTTTCCCCCCGTTTTTCTCTGAGAGTAAGATTGAGAGGTAATAGCCACCTATAAGTAATTCCTACAAAGTGGCTTTTGTTTCCAGATTTCTTAACATGTTCCTAGAGGTGAGAGTTGAAACAGACCAATTGTCTCCCATCCTTGCATGAATCCTTGGCATAGCCGCTGAAAGAAGGAACTGTGAGGCTATGGTAGCTGATATTGCATATGTAATCGAAGGAGGCCAGTCTATTATCTTGTATTATATCTTTAATTATTGTTAATCTTTTTTCTATCCAAATTCTCTTAAGCGTAGAGCTGGCTTTGATCCTGAGACATAAGCTATTCTGTAGTGGTACAAGAAGAGAATTAGTAAGATCAGACACTGTAATCAACATGTTGCAGGAGGCCCCATGGAGATGCAAAGGTTGGATTTTTCCTTAAGTGTGTGGGTAGTCTCTTAAGGTATATAAAAGGAGAGGGAACCAAATGGCATAGCTATGCTTTTTTCAATCTCAAACCAGGCCAGTGTGTATACAGAGTTACTAGAGGGGAACCACCTTCCAAGAGGACGCATTTGGAATGGTAGATAATATAAATACAAATCTGTCCAGTTGCCCAGGATTTTTAAGTGAGTGGCAAGCAAGTTATCTTATATAAATTGCATGATAAGCCTATTTATTCAAGCAAAGGAGAGACCTTGAAAGGCAATAAACGAATGATATAAGTCTTTCTTGTGCAGATATTCATTTTGGCTATTTCTATTCCTCCACAGTAAGGACAGAGGAAGGAGACACCACCTCTCTACATGCTTGGAAATTTCTTTTAATACATAGTCCATATTTATAGAAACAACTTTGGGAAGATTAGGATAAATATTAACACCTCAATAAGTTATTTCCTTGCATTTTTCAAATGGAAAATGCTGAAACTGAGAAAGATCTGTTCTATTGGATAGATCCATTGCTTGCGATTTATTCAAGTTAATGCGAAAGCCTGAGCTCTTTCCAAAAATATCAACTGCATTCAATAATGATGGAATTGATGGGGATGTCTGATTTAAACCTTGTTAGAATTGCTTAAATTGATTATTTATATCTATTGGTTCAAAGATGGCACTCTTCTCCTCTTGTAATAAGGAAGAAATATTGTTGGCTAGATCCATCTTAAGTCTTCTGGCAAATAGTTGACCTGCTTTATTTCCCTATTCATAATATCTTTATTTCACCCTGTTTAGTGAAAAGTCAATGAATGCTGGCATTCACTATATTTATATTTGGCATTGATTAGAGAACATAGGAGGTTTTCATTATTTGGGTCAATCTTATATTTTCTCTGCAACTCATCTATTTCCTTGTCCAGAAAGTCTAGTAACTTGAGTCTTTCTCTCTTCTTTCGGAGGCATACTTTATGCATTCACCCCTTACAGTAGCTTCCAGAGGTTCCCAAAACATGGTATCTGAGAGTGCTTCTTTCTTGTATGACATTAGAAATGACTGTATCAACTGTAGAACAAAACTTTGCATCTTTTAGTAGCAGAGTCCACCTAGGAGATTTTAATGATGCACAACCAGTGTCTATGGCAGGGGTCTCAAACACGCGGCCCGTGGGGTGATTTTCTGCAGCCCGCGAGCCCCCCGCCATCCCCCAGTGTTTACCAGAGCAGCGGCCGGACGTGCACCGGGAGCAAGGCAGGCTCCCTGCCTGCCTGTCCTGCCCTGCGCAGCTCCGGGAAGAGGCTGGAACGTGGGGAAGGGGGGGGCGGAGGGGCTGTGTGTGTCTGTTGCTTTAGGCAGCGCCCCCAGCAGGTCCCATTGGCCAGGAACGGGGAACCGCGGCCAATGGGAGCTGCTGGAGGCGGTGCCTCAAGCAACAGAAACACATAGCCCCTCCGCCCCCCCTTCCCCACGTTCCAGCCTCTTGCGGGGGCAGGGCAGGCAGGCAGGGAGCCTGCCCTGCCCCCGGTACGCGCCGGACCAGATCCTGCCCCCTGAACCCCTCCTGCAGCCGAACCCCCTGCCCTGAGCCCCCTGCCGTACCCGCACCTTGCACCCCAACCCACTGCCCTGAGCCCCCTGCTGCACCCTGCACCCCTCTTGCACCCCAACCCCCTGCCCTGAGCCCCCTGGCGCACCATGCACCCTGACACCTTGCTGTACCCCTCACCCCTGCGGCACCCCACACCCCAACTCCCTGCCCTGAGCCCCCACCACACCCCCCCTGGGGGCAGGGAGGGGGGAGAGTTGGGGTGGGGATTTCAGGGAAGGGGTTGGAATGGGGGCAGGGAAGGGGCCTCATGGAAGGGGTGGAGTGGGGGCGGGGCCAAGGGCGGCGGGGGGGGGGAGGTGTCAGTAATGCGGCCCTCGGGCCAATGTACTAGTCCTCATGAGTTTGAGACCCCTGGTCTATGGTAAGTATAATTGGAGCGTGATCTGAAATTAATATATTACATCAATAGCTGCTTCTAGGCATGCTGGAATCAGTGCCGAAGACGTATGAAAAAAGTCAATTCTGGAGTAAGATGAGTGTACTGTAGAGAAATATGCATAGTCACGCTCCTTGGGGCCTCTCGGCCTCCATATATCTTTTAAATCAAGTTCATTCGTTAATAATGAGGGTTGGCATATTGTGCTTTGGAAGAGGGGTCTTGTGTAACTGGATTTGTCCAGATGTCGGTCTAGCATAGTATTCCAATTGCCTCCCAGTATTACAAATCCATTTTATTAGAAAAAATGACTGCAATGTCTTTGAAAAATTCAGAATTACCTCCACTTGGATACTACCTTTTTTGAGTTGAAACAGCCTTCAAGAAGAACATAACTTTCTTCAGGATCAGACCAAGACTGTATACACTGAAAAGTTATGCTTTTGTGAATTCAGATGGATGTGCATCTGCTCCTAGAATTCAGTGATGAATGATACTTAACACCTACCCACATCTTCTTGTTTCTATTGGCATTTGTTTCTGCAAGATGAGTTTCCTGCAATAAAGCTACTTGGCACTTTTTTTTTTTAATCTGAGGTGTCCCAGGATTGTAATTTTTTTGGAAGGTTGATGAAGTCCCCTCATATTCCAGGAGTGCACTCTAAGAAATTTCATGGAAAGTTTTAAAAGATATATTAAGATATATTACCTTATTCTAAACATAAGTTGAAATTGTAAAACCACCTCTCTAGGAGAGGGTCTGTATTTATACGTATTAAATACTGGTTATTTTGAATGAATTTATGCCTTCAGTTGAGCCTCTGAGAGTGGCAGGTATACAAAAAGATCTACAGTTAAATATCATGTGTCTTTCAAAGTATATTTGCTACCGAAAACAACAAATATTAACAGACTTAAAACAAGCCAGTGTGGGCACATTCGGATCTCTGATGACTTTGGGTCCATCCACTCCTCCCTTCCCTATATTATCTAATAGTATAAACATCTCTAAATACAAATATATTTAAAGTCAAATATTACCCTACAAATACCATTGGGATTCTAAAATATGTATAATATATACAAAAGATTTTCTGTATACGTACACATATATTTA